TCCAGCTCAAGCGTTAAGCTTGTGCCACAGCTCAAGTTTGTCCACATCTGCTAGATTTCGCCTACGGGTCTACCATACTGTATAGACCCTGCAGGTGGGTTTCATGCGGCTGGCGCCAACATGTGCTGACATCCTCGTCTACTTTTTGCGGTTGTGCTTCGGGCGAGCTGTAGGGTACCCTTTAAGCTGTTGGGGAATGCAGAAACATGAGATGCAGAAGCTGCGCAGCTGCCTCTGACGGAATTAAGTTATTGCGGAATTAAGATATGAATAGTTATGATGGAATTAAGTGACAGGGTGGATGGGTTTTGTTGAAGGGTTTCAAAGCCAAGGCAGTGCTCCAATAGGCAAGAAAAGACAGCTTTCAAAACAACGCACGGACCACGAGCTGGTGGAGGACCCTGCAAGGGTTTACTGCAAAGCCGCCCACGAAGTTCAAGATCCCTTGTTATTTTCACCCCTGTCTAATCAAGTCTAGAACCTAATCAAGAGCACATGATTAGCTGGTTGAATGTGCAATTGAAAGTGTTGTATGTCAACAGGCACGTAAGCTGGTTGTTGTGTTCTTTGTTGGTGGCACAGGTTCCATGCCGACATGTGAACAACATATGCTTTGATCATGCAGGCCACTCTCGGCTCAACAACGGTCATGTTTCGATGTATCGGCATGGTTGGTTTGGGACTGCACGAGTTTCTGGCGAACATCGAGGGTATGAAGTTGAAGCATGAGCAGCTTGTAGAGTGTAACGCAGTCTCACAGCCCACAGTAAACATGCTCGAGGCATTTCCGGCGTTGCTCATGGGCCTTTCGTCTCGTTGCTCTCTCGCTTGAGCATGGTGTACGTCGCGAGAAGTCCGGCCAGAAGCCTGCCTGAGGCAAGCGTCCTCGGCATAGAGTCAGGAGCCGCGGTGAACGTGGAAACTTCGCAAAATTCGATTGCCGCTTCCGAAACGCTGTCGCTTCAGTCTCCCCAGGCGAGCAGCCCAAGCAGCTTATTGCGACCATACATGAAGTGGAGGCCTACGGCCGTGCTGGGTACTCTTGTCACCCTGGGCTCGTTTGTGGCCGCTGCATGGCTGCTAGCGAACCCAACGAGTGTCGTGCGAACTGAAGCTTCAGTTCCTAGAGGGGAGATCGAGATGGGTGGTGTGATGATCTTTGACGTGAAGGCTTACTTCCTGTCCAGTCTGTATGGCAGCATGGACAGCCTTGGCAGAGCTTTCGCGGCTTTACATGACGACTTGTCTATCGAGACCAACCTGATCATGACGGATTATGTGTACACTATCAATCCGCACTATTCACTGGAACACAATGCGACTCTCTACACCTGGTGGATGGTTCGCCGTGTCGATCTGGCATCTGCAAACGAAACCCGCTCCAGGCTTTTGGCTACAGGCCTCAAACAGTTGAGCAGACAAATCGGAGAAGGCATGATTGCGCTTTCAAGGCCATGGCCAGCACAAAACTTTCTCGGCACGATTTACCAGAATTGGTGTATTGACGGGAAGTTTCAATTCCCGAAGGCTGAAAAGCGCGCCCAAATCAGGGAGTCTTGGGCGCCAGGCTGGTGGATAATGCGCAGGCCTGGATGTGACTTGGGCTTGGGCTTTTGAAACTTGGGGACCCCGAGCTCTATTGACCCCAGTGAGCTTCCGACTAAAAGTCCGTGAGCTCCCAGATTTTCAATGACCTTGCATAATGCAGGACGCAAAAACGCCGAGCATTGTATCGGTGCGGATGCAAACTTACTAGCTGCCTGTATTCTGTTATCGGATGCAGGGTAATGGTCTTTGTCCCGGCTGAAACCTAGACCGAAGCTCGAACAGCTCGCTTGTGACGCCGAATTCTGTTGAGCGTCTACCACGGAGCCAAGGCCATGCGAAGTCGCCTCGCAGAGCTAGACTTCGAGATGAATGAGGCCAGACTGCGCCAGCGACGGTTCGCAGCACAGAGTAAGGCCCGAGTAGTTTGCCATGGTTTGCCCCAGAGTAACGCTGGCACGAAATAGGAAATAGGAATGCTGGGTGAACAATCCTTGCGCAGGCTCGCGTTGGCGAGAATTCGATGTGAAAGCCCAACTCGAGGACCTTGCCCGGGATAGCTGGATCTTTGCAGGGCTGCAGCTGAGGAATCGATGAGTCGATCCCAAAGGCCACATGCTCAAAGCTTAGCTCTGGCACCTGACAGGAGGTGATGTGTCCGCGCCAAAGTGAGCCGATACCATCAGTCGCAGCCACGCAGGGCATCGAAAAAGGTGCGCTGAATGCTTCAGGAGTGAGATTGCCAGAGAGCATCGAATCAGGCAAGCATGCGGCGGTGTCGTGATGAGATAAAGACCTTGTGTGTTGTGCCCATGAAGCTGCATTCGTGCTCAGCTGAAATTTGGAGAGTCTAGCGTCTCTAGATACGACCAAAAGAGATGACACCTACAGGGCAGAGCAAGATGTACGCCACAACTCAGCTGCATGGGTCGACGTGCAAGTTCTGCCGATGAGGCTGAACTCTGTAGCTGAAGATGCCTCTCGTTTGCCCGGCCGGCATCGGCCCTCACATCCCTCACTGGAACGGACCAGAGCCCAAGCACCTTGGTCACACGGACAAACCCCACGCGCCTGTCAGCCATTGTTACAGCAGTAAGTCACTGTGAGTCTGCGACTTGCGCGATGGATAGAAATGCCCTCCTTTTCGGGCTATAGCCCAGGCCACGCAGGAGTACATTATGCTAATGTTGTGTGGTACCAACAGAAACAGCCTATGATGCCCAGAAGTGTGCAAGTACTTGTCTGTAATGTAGTATGCACATGAAGAATCAGACGATTTTAGTGCATGCGCATGCATGCATGCATGCATGCATGCATGCATGCATGGATGTTTTTTGTATGATATGCTTTTCGACCGCATGGATGGACGGACGAACGGAGGGATGGATGGATGGATGTACGGATGTCAATTTGTATTGATTCATCTATGCCTGCGTGGGTGCATGTATGTCTGCATGCATGTGTGTATGTGCATATGGCGTATGTGTGCATGTGTGTGCACATGCCTGTATGTGTATGTGGCATGTGTGCGTGTGCCCAAGGGGCCAAAAGGGCGCATCATACAACTCGGTCCAAAGAAGCTCTTTTCAAAGCAGACATGAAAATATGCCTGCTTCAGTGCACTTATATTCTTCGCACATAGCTGTTGTCTACAGAATCTCTGCTTATATGGCACTGCATATTCACCTCTGTGCCAAGACACATGGTTGTACAGGTGTGTGTTTGTTTGTGTGTGTGGGTGTGTGCTCGTGCACGTGTGTTTGTTTGTGTTTGTCATTGCGTCCATGTCTATCTGCATGTCTTTGCCTGTGTCTGATGTGTCCGTGTCTTCGTAGCATGCATAACGGGCAAGCAGTGCCCACCGAGACTCATGCATATGCATGCAAATACATGCATACATGAGTATGCGAAGAAAGAGTCTGATGCGCTGGCTGTTCTCGCCTTTCGCTCCAACTGATGGTGCATGCTTGTCGGTCACTTTGCCTGATCCATAGATACCGGGATCTGCGATTGACACTGGAGTCCTGCATGAACGAATCCTTCGTTCATTTTTGATGGAGTTTCTCGCAGTTGGTCATCTCTTTTCAGGCATGTTCGCTCTCTGCCTGGAGGTCTCTTCAGATGGCTGCGGCTGTTGCCCACGGTTCAGGCACGGAGCGAATAGCTGAGCTGCCAATCATTTCGATTATAGTCGAGCGGGGGACCCAAACGAGCTGCCTGGCAAGGTGGTTGTAGGGCTTGTCGCTGTCAAGCCGGAGAAGGGTCCTCTCTTCCCCGACTATGACTGCAGAAATGTGGCCAGAGGCTTACGGGGTTCTGCCCTGCCGTAGAGTAGCTGCTTGCCGCAGACAGTCCTGGTGGTATGCTGGTTGTGGTCGTGACAACATGATCTGGTGATTCCGTTGCATGCTTCATCGAAGGCTTTTCTGCACGGTTGTCAAAGTCAAGCATGGATCATGTCATAATCAAGCCGCGGCCATCCTATCAACATTCATCACAAACCAATGTAAACACGAGTTTTGTTCCAGTTCAAGCATATCCCATCTCTGAGGGAATGGTGGATGGCATCGATTGGTCCAAGTGGCCGCACGCTCAACCAAATGCTGGGAAGTATCTGAAGCCCGATTCAAACCATTCCCCCGTGCGACCGTACGACCCAGCTGTTGGCAGATTGTTTCAGATGCCCAGGCGGAGCATTTACGTGGAGGCAGGCTCACTGCTGCATGTTCATCAGATTTTCAACGATAGGTCGTGGCACTCGTGAAGCAGATTGGTTCGGTGTTTGGTTTTGGGCCTTGCATGTTCGAATGCCAGATGCATCCGAGCCAATGGACAGATGCAAGTGCAAAGTGGCCCGGCAGCATGTCAGCCTAAGGCTTGCTGCCAACGGAATGGCGTCCCGTGAAAGATCTTACAAGGTACTTCGACTTGTTTATGTCTGCCGACGAGGCTACATATAACAGCAGCTGCCCCAGACGACGTTGTTTCAAAGCTAGCTTCCACTCGAGAATTGCAGCTATTCAGTCGTCAGCCCACCACAGATTCTGCAGTGATACAAGTGGAACGCAACGCCGTGAGCGGGTGATCTGTGTGCGCTGCCCTGAAGTCTTCCCGCAAAACATTCCCAGGTTGGATGAGGGTTTGTCCGCTCGCTCCTCAAGTGACTCCCTTGCAGAGCACTTTCTCACAGACGGAGCCCGATTTAGCCGTGCATGTTGCTTTACGTAGACTCCGTATTGGTATTTGCAGCTTCGAGGGTGTCACATTGCGACTTTAGCATGTGTCGTCGACGCCGATTGTCGCGCAGCTCTGTCGCTTCACAGTGACTTCTGGTGACTACGGCAAGTATGGGATTCGCGACATCCGAGAACTCCAGAAAAAGCCACCGAATGCAGTGCAACTGGCAGGAGCTTAGGGCAGCAAAGTCTAGAGTCTAGAGCCTCTTTACATTTGCAATGGCCTCCCTGTCTTTCGCACTGGCTGTCGCCCTGACTGCGTGTGAGGCCGGTCAGCATGTTTCAGGCCTGCTACAGCCTAGGCGGAATCGTGTCGCTGAGCCTGCTTCCGATAAAGGCTTCGCTGGTGAAGGATCCATCCTTTGAGCAGGACCTCGGGCGGGCTTGTCAACCAGCTCTATTGCTTGTTCAAGAGTCGCTGGAACACTACAAGTCTTGTCGCCACGGAGCTGTCTCAATAGCTTCCCTGTTGACAGAACCGACGGTATCTGCCAACCCCCGCTAGTTAGTTCTTGGACACTTCTAGTATTGGAGCCGGCGCAGCGAGAGTGTGTCAAAGCCTATCCTGCTGCTACTAGCAGAGGCTGGGCTGAGGTATGTCATCATGTGCCCACGGGCTGTAGCAGTGCAAGTAGACATTTTTGATGGAAGTACCAGTGGCAGTGGTTGCAATAGTCGTAGTGGTGGTAGTAGTGGCAGTGGCAGCACCTGGAGCAGCGGCAGTAGCAGGAGTAGCAGTAGACAGCAGCAGTAGCAGCAGTCGTAGTAGCAGTACCAGTAAGTAGCAGTTGCCGTTGCAGGAGTCGGAGTAGGAGTAGGAGTAGCGGCAGTAAAGAGACGGAGCAGCAGCAGTAGTGGTAGTAGTGGTGGCGGCAGTGGCAGTGGCAGTCTCGTCCCCAGCCTTCGCTCTGGACAGACCTGCGCCCAGCTGTTTCCAGGATTTTCGTGCCACGGGCTGGGCGATCTCCAGACCTTCGGCATGATATTGTGGTTAATCCATGCTTGCGCCGGCGTGTCATGCTCAAGCTGCAAGTCAAAGCCGAGGACAGCTGTTGCCAACATCGGAGCTGCAGGCGGTATCAGCGACTGGCTGCAGTTTGTCCACAGCCAGATGTCGTTTCGTCGTTGTTGTTCAGAGGAATCAGGGAGGCTCGGACATTCTGATTCCTGTGCGAATCCAGGCGAGACTGGAGAGTTTGCTTTCGGAGCATGGCCGACGAGCTTTCGGCGACGACGGGTCCAAGGACACAGCCCAAGCTCAGGGCATCTGCTATACAGTCGCTGGAGAGCATCTATCACGTAAGCCTTGCCGAAGCTACCTGTTCGGACCTGTGGTGAATGGACGCAGGAAGTCCGCTTCACCTTTGCAGTGCATGAACTGGACGGCACCCCGCTTCAAGTGTGAGTTTGGTCGCAGACTAAAACAGCGGCAGGACAACGCAAGAAGGCGAGATAGTGTTAGTTCCGAGTAACTGTGGTCTTAGAGAATGCAGTGCGCAGACGCACATCTAGTGCGTTTTCGATGCGTCTTGCCATAGATCTTCAAAAGAAGAGCATAAAAGAGTCTCGCACTGCGTCACGGCATCGGAGGCACTGTGAGCGACTTCGTAAGCAAAGACACGGGCGCACTCTGGCAGCAGGCGCTGCCGGTCTAGACTCGACATGATTGGCGCCGCATGGGAAAGCCCCGCGTCACAAGTTCAGGGGAGTCAGAAGGCGACTCCTCGCAACATTGAGGTCACACGCATTCCCTAAAGTGAGAGCATCCATAGAAGCGCATTCTCGGAAGCCTCGAGCTCCCTATTCTGACGATGAGCTACACTGACAGCTGAGCATTGGGAGGCCGCACGGCTGGCTGGCACCGAGCGGCTTTGCATCCTCATGGACCGCGGATTCTCGAAGGACCTGGACCTAGCTGAAAAGCAAGCGTGCCTGTACTCCGGATGATGAAGAAGCAGATGTCTCTCAGGATCCCGGGGATCCGGAAACGCATTGGCACCGCGACGACGAAGCGATCGGCCTTCCAAACCTTCACCCAGGCAGGGGGCGTTGGAGTCTGGCATGTCAGCATCTACTGTATCGTGTTCTTATTTATGAAGCTACTTCGATTCGCCAGGCCTTCGAACAGTCCATGCCTGGATTCCTCTCGTGGCCATGGGGAAAGACTTTGGCACACTCAGATGCTTGGGCAGATTGTTTTACACCAACCAGCTCGGCTGCAGAACAGAAGCTGATTACAGCATACCCCTGATTGTGCGATGGTTGCTACGGATCAGCATTTTCCACTTCTATCGGCTGGCTGCCTTGCGTGAATGCAATTTTCCCCGCCTTCGTTGCCGAGCATCTGCCCCACATACCGGTTTGGCTTCTCTGCTTCTGGGCTGTGTTTTGCGTAGTGAGACTCTTAAGGATACCTTCTCGGCACGCACCGGCGACAGCTTCAAGCCTGCAGTATGATGACAGTGCGTAAATTTGTCACCCTCTTAGGAAGGATCAATTTGGCTCATTTGCTTGCTTCGAAGATGCCTGCTTTCAGGTACGGCTGGTTTGAATCGCTTCTGGCATCGTTGTGGGGCTGGGAGTTTACCTGGTTTCTCACATCGAGGACAGGTCAGCGCATGTCAGCACAAGACAGGTTCTGACGTTTCCAGGCCTCGCAGCCATCGATGTCTGACAACTGGTAGCCATACTACCACTACATGAATGCCTCAGTACCAAGTATCAGTAAGTATCACTTTAAAAAATATGCAGTCGCCTGAGACTCCACTGCATATGTGGCCAGGACAGAGCAAGACGACAACTTGCACCTCGGGTTCTCTTCGGCAGAAGTTTTCCTTGTCAATCACGGCCAGTTGCCGAAGTTGTTTGTCGCGCGACCTCACCAGTCGGTGCAGTCTGATATGCTCAGCTGAATTGCATTGTTGAGCCGTCCGAGAAGAAGATATGCGACGCAGTCCTCCACAGGCAGTTCGGCGATGTGGCATGGCACGACGGCTGGACATTGCATTCCGCCGGTTCCAACCAGGCCCTTTGCATATCTGCTTCCAGATGCTCTTTGACCAGACTAGCAGCGTCTTTTCAGTGGAGCGCTCACACATAGACGGGATGTTTATTTGCACATGATTTGCTTGTCCTTCCCGCCTTCCTGCTCCACATGACAGAAATTGACAGATTGACAGAACTTCTCAGCGCACACTGGCTGATGCGCTGGCTCGGCTAACACGACTCTCAGCGTGTGATGCGCACCCCTGATTGCGCAATGTTGCGATGCTTCGCAGGCAGCCGCAGTTCGAAATGGTTTCGCCATCAGCTGCTTGGCCTACGGAGTCGGATCCGCTTGGGCTGTCTAAGAGCAAGCCAGACGAAGTCTCAGAAGTCAGTTCTTGTGGGGGGGTGGATTGCGCCACACAGCAGTCGAAGCTTTCATGTCTCTTTCAGGGAAACTCGCCTGTCCAAAACTTTGAGGAAGTATCGCATGTCGCACGCAGCCAACAGGAATCCCTGCCGCCCCAAACGGTCCAAACGAAAGCCTTGAAGCAACAACAAGCCGCTGCATGCTGGCGCTGAGCACGCACTTAACGACGGCCTTGAAGGGAGTACCTCGTAAGATGCGCAGTGTATCGACCATACAGCTCCTTCGCCGAAGCAGCCATGCTGTCACGATGCCTCTCGGTGAATCTGGTGCCACTAGGCTATGCCTATTGTATCGATCCGAACGGCTGCCGCGGATTTAACCAGCGCGTCTCCCAGAAGGATGCGACGTGCAGGCACATGCTAACTTCGGGTGTGATTTGTTTAGCCACACTTTCAGTCACCGGTCATGAGACGACTAGGCTAAGTGCAGTTGGAATGGGCTCACGTGTCAGTTCCAGATTTCTGGGCGAAGCAGTGACCATGCCAGGCAGAGGGAGTCTGACTTGACTAGAATCGCGATTCCGGTTGTGCGGAGAGCGCCTGAACTCGAAGCCGGTCATGCAAAGCTGTTGATTCATGCACAATCCCTGTGGCCTTTTCGAAGTGGGATTCTGCGCCATCTCCGCCATAGCTTGCTCTTGGTCCTAGCCTGTGGAATCATGCAGCCTTGCGCGTCTCGGTTTGCATTTGTTTGAGTCAGACGCAGTACGTGAGAAGGCTTGTTGCTTAACCGAATGGCCATGTTGCAGCTGGCCCGCCCTGCTGCCTAGGATCCTTCTTCGGCATTCTTCGGCTTCATGGGGGTTACCTCCGCTCTGGTGTTCGCCAACTTGGGAGCGGAAGCCCGGTTGCAGTCGTAGCTGAAGCCTCTTGAAATTGACCCTTGCGGAGGCGGCGAGAGTGAAAGAGAAAAGGACAGTCTGAGAGAGAGAGTGATGGCTTTGCACATGCAGGTTGAAATTTGATGTGTGTAGCACGAAGCTCAAGAATGTTCATCTCCCAGCAAAGCCTAAGAATTACTTTGGTAATTTAATACATGATACATGTTAAGTCAGCAGGGGTTACCGCTGGGAGACAACCCTTCGAGTGCTAAACGGGCAGAGACTATGACCATGAGGATAGAAGACACCAAAAACTTCGAAACGCCGGTAGTCCATGGTCCACTTTGTGAGATTGAAGAACTTCCGAACTTCTGCTTTAAGTGGTGTTGGTCGACAAAGAATACAGGTAAGGCATGTTTGCGTGCTTCGAAAATGCGGTTCGCACTCCCTGTTGTCTGTCGTCTCAGAAGTTCCAAGGCCTATGGAACAGCGAAATCTGGAGTTGGAATCGCCTCGATGGGCGTCATGCGTCCGGACATGATCATGAAGTCCATCATTCCGGTGGTCATGGCCGGTGTACTCGGCATCTATGGTACCTGCCTCAGCTTTGCTGCTTCTTACACCCCGTGTGCATCCGTGAAGCCTCCTAAACCACGCCCATCCGGCTGCTCAGATCGCATGCACCTCAACCCCAAGAAACCCAGGCCTGATCACAGCGGTGATCATCAACGGCAAGATGGACGCAGCCAATTACTCGGCCTACTCCGGCTACGCGCACTTGGGAGCAGGTGCCATCATCTGTGTAGGCTCAGTCCTTTGTTTGTGGCTTATCAAGCTTGTACAGAGCTGACAGAGCCTATTTGCCAGGACTTACCGTTGGCATGAGCTCCCTGGCTGCGGGTCTCGCAATCGGCATTGTGGGCGATGCTGGCGTCCGGGCCAATGCTCAGCAGCCACGTCTCTTCGTGTCTCGTCTCAGGATGGCTCAGGATTTGTTCAAGATCCTTGGGATTTCGTTGTGGCTCCGCACAGAACCCTTAGCCCTGCAGGCTTTGTTTTGCCGCGCCCGCAACTTCAACCGAATTACACGAAGTTTACTCGCGTCCAGCTAGCTTCTTGCAAGTCACACTTCGACTTGGGCGTCTTAAGGTGTGCTTCTGTGCTTGGAGCACATGTGGGTGCATAAGTCAGCAAGTAGGTTGGAGAGAGACTCTGGCTGTTTCGCATAAGTGCTGTCACAGGTTGGCATGATCTTGATTCTTATCTTCGCAGAGGCGCAAGGGTTAGTGCTGCCAGGGCTGGCTCGTGCTTGGAGCGGGGCGGCGACTTCCCGTTGTCACAAGCTACGGTTGAAGCTTGCAGCACATCTTATAATGTAAGGAAAGTTCCTGGCATGCCTGCGGGAGTCGCTGCTCACCTTTGCAAGGGAGGGCCAACCAAGCGTCGCCTGCAGAAGCGAGGGCTCTGAATGCAGAATGCCTGCTGCCGGTTCCGAACTTGCCGTCGTTGGCACAGTCAGAGGCTCTGGGGCTCTACGGTCTGATCGTTGGTCTGGTGGTGGCCTCCACAGCTGAAGGGACGCCTGGCAGCAGTTCGAGCTGGATACACGCCGGACCTGAAGCTGTCAGACTCGTTTTGCATCACGATTGTGAGGTGCAGGGCATGTTCAATGTCCAGCCATATAGATTTTCCGACGCATGATGCTCCAACCAAGGAAGGGGAAAGGCCTTTGCACACCTTATGCCTGAGCATGCGCACTGCGCTGGTGTGAGGGGCGCCCAGGATGCAGCGAGGAAAACGTTGAGGCTGTCGAAAAGTGGCTCCTTCTTGCTGCAGCCAGCGCCACTGGTTTTGCTTCTAGAGGAGCTGGAGGTTTCAGACCCTTTGCACCAAAAGTTGTAGAAGAGAAACAGCAAGATCAGCCAAGAAGTTAATAGGTTCATCTGCAATTACCCGGCTTCCATGACATAGTCCATCGGCGGTCTTTTGTTCCAACAGCTTTATGGCAGTGGGTGTGCTCCAGCGCTTCAGAATTTTGGCTGCCTGACACTTGGTGCGACTTGCTGCGCAGACATGTGACAGGACGTTTCTTAGCTTAGAGGGGGACGTGACTTCCCCATAAACGTGGTGATATTCAACAGAAATGGTGATCGAAGACAGAGTCTAAGCCACCATTGTTGGTCTTGCCCACATGCATTCTATATCGTCACACGCTGCCATAGATAAGTAGAGATCTGCTGATCTCGATACACATTCATCTGGGAAGGCCCAGAGCAGGCTCATGGAGTCGGAGATAGATGGTGAGGGCACGAGCTCCTGAAAGCAAGAGCTTGAGACTCATTTGTCGCCTATCTCGCTGGAGAAAAAGATCAACTGACACACATCGTGCAGATGCACTGCGATGTTATAGCATTATAGCGGTTTCAGCTATAGTGTGTTTCTGGACCAGGTGTCCGAAGGGTAAAACCACGTGGACTCTAAGATAGGCCCAGCAGCAGCAGGCAACGAGCTGTGTAATTCATGGCAGTTGTCGTCTAGTGAGTCTAGTTGTGATTAATACTCATCACATCGGGAAAAGGTAGAAAAGCTTGAACTGCACTTTGCTACTGGATGGAGAGTGGGAGCTTGTGATGCTCCATGAACGAGACACATCGCGCCCTTCGTTGGCAGGGCGGCTGATCTCTTATTCGACAAGCAGTGGCGCGAGCGACACAGGCCACGCCCATGAAAACTGTCAACGACATGCACCTGTATTCTGGTCGCAATCCTCCTCCTCAAAGTGCGTAGTCAGGAACGGGGAGAATGACTATTCCAAGAACATGATCACCGAGCCATTTGTCGCCTGTCCTCAGCTTTGGACAGCCCCAGCCTGTATGTGCTATCTCCTGAAAGTGCCGGCATGCACATCGATGCAGTTTGCGATGCAAACACTGCGCATAATTGCGCATACACATGCATACACACATACATGCATATACATATGCAGCATATCATATGCATATGTACATATCTGTACATACATATACACAGACATACATACACATTCACTTTTCTGGTGGATGTGCAGTGGTGGAGACAGCATCTTGAGGCTCAGCAGGCCACTCGCTTCGTGCTGCGTTCTGTGGTGGGTGCGCTGTGCGGCCTGGGGCGCCATGATGCATTAATTTTCAGGAATCTCTCATGACACCCATCGTGTCCTGCTTCAGTGTCCAGGATTCGTTGCTCTCTCGAGCGACACAGTTGACCCAATCGGCTGGAGCTGCCAAGAAAGCAGAGACCTCAAGCAGCCAAGGGTACACGCATTGATCCAGCGCTGCCGTGGGAAAGAAGATAAAGTTGCATGACGCGGCGCTGTGGCAGTTTTCATGACCCTTACAGGTTAGTTCAACGAGGGCTTGGTCGGCTGCGAGGAGCTAGCTGTGCTCGCTGTTTAGTAGCAGGTGGTAGATGTTACAGCTAGCTCTGCTTAACTACGAAGTCTTTATCGCTCGTCGTAGCCGCTCACTCTGTTCTGGACACAAGCCAGTGCAGGCAAATCGCAGTGCCGGCGAATGTCGGCACATTCGTTTCACAGCCATGCCTGGCAGGTCTCGGGGCCAGCGTTCGCAGGGCTTCTAGGGTTAAAAGGATAGTGTTCCAGCTGGGCAGACCCGGCCGCCATGCAGGCAATTTCTAGCAGTCTGGAGCGTCTCAGGCTCGACTCATGACGCGAATTTGAGATCCTAGTTAGGACTTAGGACTCAAGCACAGCTCAAAGCATGGCTGTGCCTTCAGCAGGATCGGCCAGGTCCCAGCATCGAGCAGCCGCACTTTCAAGCAGGCTCCTTCTGGGCTTGCCGGGACCGCCGTGTCAGATGTCAGACCCAAGAGCTTGGTCCAGGAGGGAAGGCTAAGAAGAAGCGGGGAGACTGGAGACGCATCCCTTGAATGTCATGCTTACTACTACGCAGTGCATGTCGTGAGCAGTGTGTGCAATGTTACCAAGCCCCGCCGAGGATTGGCGTGCTGAATGCCGAGCTGTCGCTCTTTTCCCTGTCGTTGTGGTACGGGCATGTGTTAATGCGACACTTCGCAAACAAATGCTCACTGTTCCGTGGTCGACAGTCCTTTCATGCTGGGGTTGATATTCTGGCAGTATGTGGCCCTCAGTCACGTCGGTCCCTTGCTTCGGAATGCTTCTCAAATCAGGAGCAGGGGTGACCGCGACCACGCTGCCGGATACCGGGACTATGCTAGTTCGTGCCTCAGGGCTGCCTGTGCTCCAGGCATAAATTGTCAAGGGCGCGGCCAGCAATTCAGAATGCCGCAGACATTAACTGCGACGCAGCAATAACCGTGACCGTTCCGTCCAAGGTCTGAAGCTGCGTGCGCTGCCGCTTCGTGTGCTCATCGGACCCTGTGGCTGTTTTACAGGCTTAGGCAAGAGGCGTCGTCATTTCGTCTTGTTGCAGTGGCCATCGTTTTTTGTTTGCAGGATCCCGTTGGCCGTTGTTTGCCCTGCTCACGTCGAGCTCCAAGCTTCCTTGGTACTTTTCTCAAGCGTATCAGCTGTCTCGGCTTGGCCGGCGGCCATGTAGATTCGTCGGCAATTGAGCTTTGCGGCGTGTTGCAGGTTCGCCCTTGTGATAATAAAGTCTTTTCGATTGATTTCCAGCCATTTTCGCTGTACGCTGAGCCACACACAGCCATACGACTAGCTGGCCACATTTCCGTACGGCATCCTTCTGCTGGCATGCACTGCGGCTGTCCGAGTATGTGGATCAAGGTCAAAGCGATTGCGATGGTATGCTCCTGCGATAGGCCGTCGAAGATGTGCCGTCAGGGACCATCAGTGCAAGCCCCCTCGCGTGCGAATGTTGTAATGCGCTATTTGCACAGTCTCCTGCTCTTGGCTCCAGAAGGTTGCCGAAAATGATTTCCGCAGTGAGTGCCACATGAGGCGATGGGCTCGTCCAAGTCCAAGCTCGTATTGGTATGGAAGATCTTGTAAACGGAAGCGAGAAACGAAGCAAGAAAGAAGAAACGAAAGGAGAGGAATGACCTAAAATTTAGTTTGGGATTTTACACCTGGATTTCTTAATGATTCTATCCTAACATCATTCTCTTGTGTCATGGGAAATTGGGTGCCTTTCTTTCTTTATTTGGCCTAATTGTAAGTGAAGAATGACCGCACGAATTAGGCCAAATGAAGCAAGAAAAAAGGCACCAAATTTCGTGTTGGTTTAGTGTGTGTTAATTTAAAACAAACGAGCACGCATTCCATTCTATTTCGAGCGCAACGCATCCCCTTGCCCTCTGAGTCTTTTGAAGCTGACGGCCGGAGGCCCTCAAACCTGTGTTAGGCAGTCCGGATCTCACCAATGACACGGTGGTAAACTGCGAGCATCTTGAGGAGCCGGCAGCAGCCCCGAGACGCGAAGGGTGTTCCTTCGCAATCGCTTGTGCTCTCCGAGGCTTTGAACTGGCATGGTTACCTTGATGCTTTCCGCCCAGATGCTGTGAAAGACTGGCGGGGGCCCACGTTCGCAGTCGTCTGACGAGCCGAGACACTTGAGAGCTCAGGTACAATGCTACCATCCGCTACGTCATGTCATGGCAGATGACGCAAATTCCGCAGGCAGGACATCAGGCTGCAAGACATCGGTCAGCAAGTGTTGGCTAAGGAGTTTTTTGGAGCTCTGCCCTCGAAGTCACCTATCCTGCAAGGAGCTCTACAAGGAGTGCCCGTTGGGTTTCATTACGACAATGCTCATCAAGGCCCGTCGCCTGGCCAAGTGCAGTAGCCGGCAAGCGCTTCTGCATGTGAAAAGCCTTAAAGGCGTTGAGACACACACACACACACACAAACACACACCTGCATGTGTGTACTGTATATGCCGACGTTTCTGTATACTCGCGCTACTAGTGCTTTTCTGTTTGTGGGTCTGTGCCCCTAACTGCCCCTCTACCATTCTCTCTGTGTATCTGCACATTGCAGACACACAGAACATGTAAACCTCTGTTCAGGCAGGCCAGCCAGAAATGCGCCTGTCAGGCCATCACGTGTGCTACGACGGAAAGCAGCTGCTTCGACAGTTTTGCCGGCAAGGCGGGCAGTGACACGACAATGGTGAGACTGCGGTTCACTTCACTAGATCTCTCTAACATGCATGGCATAATCAAGCGCTGTGCCGGCCTGCCTGCAAGACGTAGATTACTCTACTCTCTGTCAGTGCAGATCGCATCGACAAGGCCGAACGTTTTCTGAAGTCTTCGCTAGATACTCAGTGGTTGAAGTGAGGGTTATTTATGCGCATGCCGCGTGATGCATCTGCCGTTGCGGCTCCCTCATGCCTTGCAGTTGGCTGAGGCCGCACATGCTAGATTTACTGGCTCACAGCACCTTGGCTGCAGCTGATTGCATCTCTGCTAGGTTTTCAGGTGCTGCCGTGGCGAGCAGAAGATGAAAGCCAGGGAGCTGGCCTGTTAATTACTCTACCACTCTACCTGCGGTTCCACCCTGGTCACACGAGTCGCGGACTCGCTCAGCCCCCCTTGAATGTGCCACAAGCTTCTTCGCACTTCGGCGGAAGTTCAGGCCGTTGGCCTCTGTCGACGCTGCTCAACTTTCTTGCTGGCTTCCCAGGTACTTAGACTCGATCACCCAACTTCCACGGAAAGATGCCTGGTCAGGGTGGCTCATGAGATCTGGCCAATGCCCAGGCCACCACTGCCAGACATCAGTACTTCCTCGACTTCACTGAGGCTTGTACACTTACCCCCCCCCTTTTTGGGGGCCAGTGGGGTCTTTGCTGCAATGTAGCATTGTACATCTGGGCTGACAGGACGAGCTGTCCGGTAATCTATCACCACTGATCTTGAGTCAGCCCGGGTCTCGACATGCCGAGATCACAGCCGACAAGAAAACAGCTAGCCATGCAGTTTCATGCAAGTTAAGTTTCGGAGGTCAACGACGTTCGTTGCGGCAATGGGCAACTGGCTAGGATCTTTACACAAGGCCGGCATTCACTGCGACTGCTTCAGCCTCCAAGAAAGTTCAGGTAGGTAGGTGCTGGTGCTTTGATACATGCTTTGCCTAGCTGGAGTCGTGACGGCTGATGCCTGTTTGCAGCCCTGCCTGGGCTCTAGAAGCTGACAGGCAAGCTCTCAAAGACGCCCGGATGCATTCAGAGACAACAAGACCGCCGAGTAGGACCACCAGCTGCGATGAGAACGCCGGGTTTTGACCCTGGAAAACTAAGGCTTCCGCGACCTTGCGGCTGTGCTCCCAAAGCTGGGGCCTGCGTGGGAAGAGGCCGGTTTTGTAGGAAGGTGTTTGGAAGGTTGGAAGAAATGCAAGAATGAGGACTCTAGGATAGGTCGGAGCCACCGCTTGCGCTGCTGGGTCTTCTGCTTTCAAACGTCCTTTGTACCTGTGTTGCTGCCGCTTTTCAGCCAGCCACTCTCTGGAAATCTCTGGAAGCAGGCGCCCAACCTTGTGTACATCACAATGATCTACGGGGCAAAGTTCAACAGGCGATGTAAAGTCTTGATCGCCGTGTTTTCCACGCGCAGATTTAAAGTTGGTTCCATCGCTGGATCTCCTCTTTCGTCGACACTGGGTGTTTCTGCAAGTATTGAGAGTGTAGTCTGTTCACTGAGCTTCAGTTCGCAACAATTCCAGTCCAACTTGAAGCCGACAAGCTGAACCAGGGAGCAGGCAAAGCTAGCGCATGTTTCCTCTCTGTGCTGCAAGCTTCAGACATCAGTCGTCATCATGCCCGCCTCGTTTCCTCTGCAGGTACATGCGTCGCTTTTGTGCACGCGCCCGATCAGTGGGCCTCGTGGGTGAGCGTCTGCTCATTTTTACGCCAGATGCTCAGTCATGCAACGGTGTCTTCACTCTTGGTCCGCCTTGTTTCGGCAGAACCATGAAGTTTTGTGAAGGAATCGGATAGAGAGATGGTGAAATACAGATGCCGTTCTGACTTCGGCACATGCAAGCAGTGTTTGTCTTGTTGCAGACGTGGTGTGAGAATATCAAGGTTAGACCAGGAAGCTTTTGAGCTGCTGGGCACCAAGTCCTGCAGCGACACCGACACAAATCTGTCTTATCTGGAAGACTGCATCGCTGCTTGAAATCGCATCTGTGTGAGTCTTCGTCCTGATCGAACCTGAAGATTCGCTGGCATTTCCAAGCATGACCGGATCTTGCTGCCAGGTGCCTGGTGGAGAATGGCCAAAGATGCATCCGAGGATCTCCATTTCTTGTCAGAGGGGACTAGGGTTCTGTGTTGTTGAGACTACTGTCCGAAGATCTGTTGATGGTACTTGTATGACGAAATCTTTGTCCGTTTGTTCCTGCCGTCACATGGCCGAGTCGCTTGCCACTATGTGCCACATTTTCGCACAGGAACCCCTTCAATCATGAACAAGTTCACTCTACCGTTGATGTGTGCACACCTTGGGCTGGACACCGTGTGCTGCTGGCATGCTTTGTCTCGGCCAGCTCCGCATCTCTTGGCCCTTAGGACTTGTGATCTTCATGCACAGAGTGGCACAGAACAGGAAGGAGCTCCCAAGGGGATTTTGTCTGAGTGTGAGCTTTCCGTGAGGTGGATCGACTTGGACGTTTTCCTTATGGTCGACCCAACGCCAGCTCTTTTGGAACATGCAGAGTCGGGAGCCTGAGCCGAGCGCGAGTGATCATTTCGGCACGCAGCACTGACCAAGATCAGATCCGAGTCAGAGCTGCCCCTGTTACTGTTGATTGCGCTTTCCACCTGATGTACCGGTAAGGCGCGGGCCAAACGACCTTTTGGTCTCAGGTTCATTCGAGGCCGCGGCATCCTCTCCAGCTGTGCACAATAAGCGTCACGACTCACGACTGCATTCTGCCGACTGCGCTCACAAGCATTTACACGAATCTTTGACGAATGCCCTCTTCCGCTGGTTTCAAGCCCTTCTTGGGAAAGGCAGACTGCATTTGCAACGGCATCGCCCTGGCCCCAGCCATTTTTGCATCTCGTCTGCGTACTGCGGAAGTTATCTACCAAGTAAATACAAGAAGGTTAGGCCGGATCGGTGCAAGATGCAAGGTTTATTTCCGGTCCACGCGTGTTGTCGCGGACTGGCTGTTATCCGTCCTCGCGAGGGCCCCAGCCCAGCAAAGAAGGCTTGCTACGTTTGCAAACTACATGCAATCTAAAAGTCTCGGACTTGCTCGCACAGCCTGCGCGAAGCTCTACACTGAACCAGCAGATGGCAACTGCTACAGCTGATGGCAACGCCTGCTGACCCAGATCGCACCAGGGGCCAGTCTGGTCGAGATCGGCAAAGGCGAATATGCCGCTTTCAAGTTAGGCGTCCGTTGAAAAAGGTCCTCCTAGCAACATTGAGGTGTCGAGAGACGGATGTCCATAGCTACTTCTCCAACACTGTCCCCAGGTTTGGATGTACCATCATCCCTATGAGCACGATCAGAAGATGCTCGGATGCAGTCGATGGGATTCTGGAGCCGGCCTCTCTGAATAGAAGCGTGACATTACGTGGTAGCCCGCCTATCCACATGACACTTTGGATCTCCGAAAGCGCGGGAAAGATCACTGAACGATCTCAATCAGATCTTGTCTCACTTACGACGGTTTGAGCGTAGGCTAGATCCGGATGAAAGGTTTTACGGTGTTTTACTTGCGAAGCATGTAGTTTTAAGCTTCAGCTGGGTTGTTTGGGGACGTGGCTCGTAGGGGTTGGCTGGGTTAGCCGTCCACAAGTCAGCAGCCTGACGGTCAGAAGCGCCCTGCACTGCCCGGCACCCAAGGACCTTTAGTGCGTTCCTCAACTACACTGAGCGGGTCTCAAAGGATTGGGCATCCGTACACTGTCCAACGCATGGAAGTTGAAGTCTCACATGCTGACTTACCGTGCACAAATTGCGCAAATGCTTCGGGACTGTTGTTGGCACTAGAAGTAGCATGCTATCATGACAGTCAACAGGCTCGGCAGGGTTTCCAAAGCTCAGAAGCAGGACGACCTCGACTTGCCGCAGATTCCGGCATGGGCCATGGCCTCAGAGCCCTACTGCGATGCCACTTTGAGACAACCCGACCAAGCCACCAACCCACAGCATCGCATCAGCCGAGTGGGGTCGACGGTCCTCGTGACTTCAGTGCACTTGCTCGCCTCCTGGAGCCAAGGACACGCTTGATCCAATCAATCAGTTCGTGACCCCCGACACCTTTGAAGGGAATGGATGGCATCTTGGCACCAGTGGAGCGTGAAGTGTTTGCGAGGTCTGCTTCAGTAAGAGTTTGGTTTCAGGATCAACGGGCAAAGCGGAGTCGCACTGCGAGTGCATTAATCGTTGAGCCTGACGGCTCCGCACTTCCAGAGGACTGGTGATTTGGAGAATATCGTCATCTACCACTTCCTAAACGGCTCCTCGGCCTTTCTGATGACTTCCTGCTTCCTTTAATGGAGAGCTTGCTTCGTCGTCGGTGAAGTTGTTGTATTGCTGCAGCTTTCGTGGGCAAATCCCTAAAAGGAGCGGTGCAGGGCAGACACCTGTAGAGCAAGCATTCCCCTAAGTCGTCGCAGACTCAATCTTTGCAGCATGCCCATGTCATCCCATGTCATACGCGAAGCTTTTGGAGAAGGCCACTGCGGTGCCCGAGCGAGCCATGTCGCTGCTTGCAAAGTGCCGGCCATACTTTCAGAGAGCTGAGGAGCTCGCTGAGCATGAACCGGCCGTTGCATACTATTGCCGCTTGCACGCCATCGAACAGTTGATGCGTGCACACCAGAAAGGTGAAGCCACCGCGGAGGAGAAGAACTTGTTGCTTGCAGAGCTGCAAAAAGCCGAAGACATCAAGAAGTCCTTAAGCATTTCAAGCAGCGATGGACAAGGTACTGTGGAGTCCTTTGCCTTGCGGGTGTTCGACGCTGCAGATGCTTCTGACAGATCTGCACGGGACAAGACCGGTCAAGCAGCAGCGGTTTCCAAGCTCTATGCAGCGGCTCTTTTCCTGGATGTGTGTGCTCAATTTCATGATGGCGAGCTCCCTCCTGACTTGGCTGAAAAGGCCCGCTATGCCAGATTCAGAGTTGTTCAAATTAGGGAAGGACTGAAGCAGGGGATACCCTCGTATCCTAGTGACCCTGCGGCAGGGTCGCTAGGGGAATCCGAGACCGCCGTGGCTGGACCGTCAGCTGCCTACGCAGCAAGCACGGCGGTCCCTGTGGCCCCGGCGGCTCCTTGCCCACCCGTCAGCCAGAGTCCCATGCCAGCAGGCTTCGCACCACAGGGCACAGGTCCAGTGCGTGACAAGGCCCGAGAACAGTTGGAACTGGCCTCCTCGGCTTTGGATTTCAGGGACGTCGCAACGGCACGCAAGTGTCTGCAAGAAGCTTTGCGGCTCCTAGGCTGACAAGGTGCAGCAGCCATGTTGTATTTTCCTGTGCCCAAGCCGAAGACGTTCGAACAGAGAGGCAGGGACAAGCAAAAAGCCGTGCTGGAGCTTTACGGGATTGCTGAAGAACATTTCTCGGTGACGCTACACTCCCACATTCCTTGGCCAGAATCGTCCGGTTTGCATCTGGACTTCGTGTAAGGGCAGTTCGCAGCAGCACCCAACTTCAGCTGCTGTTTCCTTACCGCTGTCCTGTAGCACGCACTGGCGGAGTCTTCCTTTATCAACATAATGTGTGAGAGGTAGTTGTTGTGCGGGCGCTCGGCTGACTCACTGCAAGGTGAGTCTGATACCGCTGGGGGCACTGGCCTTGATCCCAGCGGCACATGGACTCCGCCTTAGCTCCAGCATCGCATGCGGCATGCTCTAACTTCGGAGGGAGAAGGCTTCTACTCAGTTTCGAAGCTTGCAACAGATATGTCTTTGCAGAGTGGAGTGAGAAGCGTGACCGTGCAGCCAAGCATGGACGAGAGGTGCATCGCACCGTCCAAAACTCACCAGCAGGATGCGGCAGTTTGGGCATTTCACCGACGCGGGCGGCGCTGCTCCAGGGAAGCTCGGTTCAGCATCTGGTCACACCGCAGGTGTCTGTGCAGTAGCACAGCTCTGTCATGACTGGCTAAAGCGGCTAAAATTACTCTCTTCCGACTGTTGTCCACACGTCTTGAAGCATGGTACCTAGTCAGCTATCCGCCGTTAAAGAAATGCAAGCTCCTTGACCGGCGACAGCTGAGGAAATGCGAAGGCGAATCTTGCCGAAGTGGAAAGGCCGCGTATGATCTTGTTCTACTAACGGCTGCTGATGTTTGGCCTCACTCGTGGCAGCATTCACAGGGGCCAGGAACTGGCAGAGCTGCTCGATACCATTGTGCGTGAAGTGACATATGCATATATGTTCTCACGAATAGAGCCGACAACAAGTGGACAGGTCAGTTTGATGGACCTTTTCTACGGGCAGGAGGAGCCAATGGATCACAAGGGCTGCTGCCAAAGGTTGAGTGAGCAGCTGTTGCTGCTTGAACGATATCCTTGACGATTTCATGCTGCCTGGCATGCTCATTGCAGCCATCTTGTGGCACGGCAGCGGGCGGGGGGCATGTGTGCAAAGCGGCGTCCGCAAAAGGAAGAGCTCTACACCACTGCCATGCCTGCGTACGAGAACGAGGTGCAAACGCCACGCACTGGTAGAGAAAGATTCCCCTTGTCGGTGTCGTAGGAGGGAGACCGAGGGTAGGTCAGAACAGATGTCCTCCAGGCGATTCGAAATGCGCTCCTTTCTGCCCGCAAGGCAGTGCCGATCCCCGGAAGGTTTTGGGAGTGAGTTTCGCGGCTTTGGTACTTTGGTCATATCGTCAGATTCTCCTCAACTTCACACGGATGCTTGACCTACTGTACCCGCTCGGTCAACTTGCACACCAAAGCCCTGCATAGCAAGACATGTCTCCAGTAGTGTCAGTTTGGGGCTGTCGTGGTGTAGGTTTAGCTGCCTGGAATATTGACGCGGAGAAGAAACCTGAACAGGGATACCCGTCATTTCAGCAGCAAGGTGCATGGCAATGTGTTTGCCACCCCCAATCTAGCAAGATCCAGCAAGAATGTCTGCAAAACCAGTACTTCGGCTCCTGCATTAGGAAGGTTTTGTTCTGTGGTTCTGGAATTTACGGAACAAGCAAACTGGACACGGGGTGCCCAAATCCCAAACCTTTGCATCACTTTTGCGACTTCGTTTGCTTGCAGATGCATGCAGCTGAATAGCACACCGAAGCTCTTGGTGAACTCAAGCTCTTTTGAAACAGCCGTGGCTTGGGTACTTGTCAAATGTCACTTGTGGGAAAACTGCAGCCTGGCGACCGCTACTCTGAAGCACTTGTTACTACCTGTAGGCCTGGTGTTTTGAACGCTGCTTTGAGAATGGGTGGTAAAAGTGGCGGCAGTCAAAACCTTTGACGTAATGTCCTCGGATCATTCATGCTTCCATTAATTGAGCCTTCGATCGCTTAACGGGGTTTGGATGCCGTTTTGGCTCATGAAATGGAGCCGGAGCGTCACTGTTTTATTGTAGCACCGGAGACTTGTCGCCTGAAGCCTTGCCTGCTGCTGTGAACTTTCCTGAGAGTCGCAGGCAGAGCGCAGCACAAAGCTCCTGGGACGGCCGTGTGGGCCGATGGTTCCTTGACGAAGCGTCAGAGATCTTCTCTTAACTGTTAGGCAGAAAGACATGGCGGAAGGGATAAACAGAGGCTCTACAAGGCCATTGGGTGCTTGTTTAGTTTGCTACTTTTTCTGGTACGGATCTCCAAGAATAGTTTCGCACCTTCCAGCGGAGTCGTGACGAGACCTGTCGCCAGCCGGCTTCAAGAAGTGCAGGTTGTAAGATGTTGCAAGCACCACAAAGGTCACGAATGCCAACTGAGCGGAGTCTGGTCACCAGCAGGGAAGGTTAGGTCCATTTCAGCAGGGAGGGCTGGGCGCTGAGTGTTCAGATGGTGTAACGGTGTAAGTACGAAGGGGGAGCTGCAGGGCCCCTCTAGGCTGAAGAGCATTGTCCCAAAGCTGCGCAGAAAATCACAGCAAGACGGGCTCCCCGGCTGGCAATCGTGCTGATGCAACGGTGGAGCGACTTCACTATTCATTCCGAGGTTGGCTGGGATTGGAAGAACGAGGTCGGGCTGCAATACGGAACAAGGGCACAGGGTGGGACGCTGCTGCTTTGAGAAGCACGCCGTCAATGCATGCTGTCGTTACGCATCGTCGCAGGCAGCTGCGAAGCTGTCTCCAGAGCTTGTCGAGGCACTGTGCAGCCGACATGCTGCAGTGGGTTTTGCCTGAGCCGGGCCTAAGCATTTTCGGTTGCTAAGCCAGTCTCCCTTCGGTCAGACCGCATCCTGTGTTTCCCTTGACTGCGCAGGCTTTGGCCTTAACTGACATCTGAAGCAAGGGCAACATGTGCTACTGCCTATGCCGAACCCAGGGAGATGTGTGTAGTGCCGACATGTAGCGAGGTTTTCAGCCTGGGGTTCCTTTGAAGTGCGCAGGCAAAGCTTCAAAAAGCCAGGCGCCTCTCAGCTTTCGAACAGGGCTTTTGACTTGCCCTCTTGGGGTTTCTCTCGCAATGAGGGAGCAAACGGCCACGATTCAGCTCCGGGCCACTGGCTCAGAGCACGTTTTACCCAGCACGCTTGCTTTCCCAAGCATTGAGCACAACTGAGTTCCGAGTTGAATCCTTGCGACATCTGAAAAGCAGCCGGAAACCAGCTCACCGACCAAGAATCTGAGGCAGCTGCGGATGCGGACGAAGCCTCATGACATTGCCAAGAAAAATGGACGAGCCTGTTGCCATGGTTTACAAGTTTCGCCAGGTGGTCAACAGCAAGTTTTGAAATACATTGACAGTGCAGCATTGGCAGCAGAGTGAACCAAACCATGCCATATAACGACTTCATGCATTGTTAACACGAGCATTGTAGGATGAAAGCCCACCCTGAGCACTCCGTCACCGTCCGGACCAAGCGGCCCGGCAAGTTCCGGAGACGGGTGGCTGGTGGCGGGGTGACAGGTTGGAGGATGTCAAAGGCATCTGGTGGATGGCTGTAGGTAGCTGGCTGCAGACAGGACGTACCAGGTGGCTGGAGACAGGTAGCTTGCGGTCTGGACGCGGCTGAACACTCTTATTTGCAACATGACACGGCTATGAAGAAGGTGACATGTGAGTGCGAAACCATCGGATGCCCTTTAATTTCAGTCCATGTTTGGCTTTGTGTAAGGCCGAGTCAATGAGCCAAGTCTTCAACAAAAGGTTTCTTAATCGCTGTCCCAAAAGTACGTTCAACGGTTCGACAGCGACATGTTGCCGACGATTCCCATCAAGCTAATCTCCAATGTGCATGTCGAGCGAGTTTAGCTAGTTGAGCATAGCGTGCTTATCAGAGAAAGTTTACCTGTTGTTACAGATACGCAGTTGCAGAAATCGTGGAACAGCCTGCGACCATCACCGTCCCGAATCCCCAGGCAAGCCTGCAGATAGTCCGGATTCCAAAGTCAAGACAACCGCAGAACACAGGCAGACCCGAAGGCAGCCACTGCAGTGGGCCGTCAGCCATGGTTCGGTTTTGCCGTGACTTCAAAGATGGTCGGAACATTCGGAAGTCGGGCTTCATGCTGCGAGATTTGCACCTCTGAGCGGGTTATATCCCCTGTCTTGGTACTTTCGCTGCATGGTCTGATCGTGACGGACGTGGCATGGCACAGGGCAGAACTTTGGCAAGATGATGGCCTGTGGTACCGTTTCCTGCGGCTGCTTGTGCTGCTGACGGTCGCGTGCTACTTGCGCACGTCTCTGACCGATCCAGGGTTCTTACAAGTGGGTGGCCAGCCAGCCCACACTACATGCTGCAGTGCGCAAGGCTGCATGTTGTTATGCTGCGCTGCGGCGGTTTCAATGAGTGAATGGAAGGGAGCTTCCAAAGAGGGAAAACCGATGATGTTGCTTTACTGCACTCCATCATGACTGAAGCAAGGTTCTACCAGAAATAGCCGAGGCAGTCAGGCAGCATGTTCCGAGAAAAGCCGTGCCCCAGGCTTCCAGAAGTAGTGGGTGATGGCTTTGAAAGCGATGCTTGCCTGAACTTACGTTGAGCTAGAAGTCTTGGTCTGCAGAACAACTAGCGCTCGGGTCGACAAAACAGTTCGTGTTTGGTGCAGGAAATGAAAGTCCTTCCCAGCGATGCTGCGTCCTCCAGCCAACTCGACAATGCATCTCTGGAGCTGCAAGTGTTGTTTCGCAGCTGAAGTGCAGTGTCTGAGATGCGGTAGGGATGCATTCACCCTTCCAAGATGCAGGACTTCGATTACGACGCTCTTCCCTCAGCTTCGATTATGCACTGCCTCAAGTGATCAGTTGGACGTGGGATGAGGCGGAGTCCCCAAAGGTAGAGCCATACCCATGCTCAATTACCGAGGAGGGCATCCTGAAAAGGCGAGGACCTGCCGAAGATTTGGAGGCAGACAACTCACCAGGAGATGGGACGCGGCATGAAGGGTGAAGACTTTCGCAGATCGCACTTCATTTATTCAATCTTTTTGTCATCCTCCTTGCATCCAAGCCATGGGTCATTGGAGTGGTTGGCTTGGTTCTGGCTATACAAAGTACCCCTGCGAATTGCGGCACGGCCAGGAACGCAGCTGCGCTGGTGCAAGCGGTGCCAGTTGCACCAACCGCTTCGGACAAAACACTGCCATGACGCTGCGGCAGCATGGAGCAGTGGCTGTTCAAAATGTGGTGTTTTGGATGCCCCTATAACACTGTACATCCCTTGCATTGCCGATGCTTCTGCGGATTTGGGAGTTGAGAGCACATCTGTAGGACACCTGCTGAACTAAGTGGTTCTGCACGCACTGGTGCCATGATAGGAGCAGCAGCTCTTGCGTGGTCTTGCCGTCGTTGGGGTAGTAGTATAGGAGTGGTCTCCGCCAGAGAAGCTATCTAGCCATCTTGCAGGAGGTTGCAAGGTTTACCGCTCAGGTCGCTGGTTCGGAAACAGTCTAAGCCATTCCCAACTTATAGTCAGGACTGTGGCCGATGCGTGCGGACCCACGACCACCACTGCCCTTGGATTGGGAGCTGCGTAGGTGCTCATGCTCCGTTACACCCACGGTCAGAATTCGAGCTGGGACATTGGGCTACCCGTTGCAGGTGAAAACAACCGAGTGCTCTTCTTCTGGTATCTCCTGCTGCAGTGTGTTGAGCTTGCTGCCGCTTGGAAGCAACTCATGCAAGCTCGCCCATAAAGCGAGCCTGATTCGGCTTGATTCTCGCAGCAGAGACCTTTGGTGTAGGGATTGCAGGGGCTTTGGTCGAGCTGATCGCTGCGAGTCTCGAAGCGATGGCTGCGCGTCCTGATCCACAGACCGATGCATGCATCCGCTGTTGAAGGGACATGTTCACTTGTTCATTTTTGTAGAAGGCTCTTCGGATGTTCACCTGACATGTTCGATATGACCGACTCCCCGGAGCCCAGTGTTGCAGGGAAACTACATGAAACCGCGTGCAATTTCAATCTGCATGGGCCCGAGCTTCATTGCAAGGCCTTCTTTTATGAGGGCGTGCAGGGCATTTCCCTGCTGGAGCCGAGCGTGGTTCTTCTCGTTCCTTGGCGCTTCCATTCGAAAAGTTTGGATTCTAGATATGCGCAGCATTTGGATGTTGGCCATGAGGGCTCTCCTGAAGAGTGGCACGCGTGTGTGTATGTGTAGACTCTCCTGAAGAACGGCGCGAATGGCACGTGTGTGCGTCGGTACGTTCATTGACTGACCGAGCAGAAATTCGGGCCAGCGAGGTTGGCCTCATCTTCATAGCTGTCTTCTTCCTCATGGCCACTCGGCAACTCACGAGATTGAAGCATGGGCACCGCCAGTTCTCACTTCACAAGCACAGCGGGAGTATTGTGTTTGGCTGGTAGCGGCTGCAGGTAAGCTGTCTGCTCTGCTTCCACACGTTCTTGATGCTTGCCAACCTGACCACCTGGGAGCACATCTCGTGGTTGCAAATCACCTACTTGAGCCTTGCCTCTGCGGAGCTTTTTTGTGGTGGTCTTACCGCCTTGGCTTAAGGCGCACAGCGAAGCTGACTTAAGCAGTACTCGCTGCAGAGATTGGACAGCATAGGATTGGCCAGCTACCAAGAAGTCACAAGTCACGAGACCCTGCACAGGCACTTTTAGTCAGCATGAACTTTCGTTGCGTCAGTGACGCAGCACAGCCAAGGAAGCCGCTGAAGGCCGACTCTGGCTCGCCGTTCTCCCGCTGCTTCGGCTTTTCCAACTGAGAGTTCACAAAAAAAATGTCCTTAGAGTAAGGATCCTTCTATCCAGGGTATTATATCAGGGTCCCCTATTTTCGGGAACTCCCAAACGTAACTCAAAATTTCCTGCACTGTCGTTTAAATGTCCCCCCGTCTCAAACAAGTTGAATTAGGCCCTGACTAGGCCCAGTGGGTGTTGGGGGCAGAGTCTGCCAGGGAGTACGTACTTAGTAAAACGGCGATTGTTCTAAGGTATCAGTAAATAAGTTCGAATACGCATACTGAAATGAGCGCAGCTGTCAGTGGGTGAGTGGTACCATTAGCAGCGCGGCACTGAGTATCAAACAGTCGTGCTAGTAGTAGTGCGGCCTGATCAGTACTCATCGTCATGAGGCCTTCTGCCGGACAAAGAGCACGCGAGAGCTTCACCTTCACATCATTTCACATCTTCACATGGTCTGAGTTTTCGAAGAACGAAGTGACAGAGGCTCCATCGTCTGGAATATGGCAGCCTACTGCTGCGGCCCGCTCTGGCATCCCAGCTGCCCTCTGTAGGGGGGGACAAGACGGGGATGTTTCCAATTGCGGAGCGGGATAGTGTTGTCCAATATGAGTATTTCTGCCGGAAACATCCAGACTAGCGGATTCGTGGGCGTTGACGTAGACTCCGTTGATGCAGGTGCCCAGCGTCGCTGAGACGCCTCGCCTCACTTCGGTATTCTGAGGAGACCAGAATGCACAACTGGAGTGCTGCATAGATAAAGGCTTTGTTTTTCGCAAGCCACCTGCCCAACATATCCCAAAACAAACGCTGGTGGAGATGGCGCGGCATGTGAGCTTGTTTTGAAGGAGGGCGGCATCATCTGGGAGATGCTTCTGGGCTTAACCACTGGTTTCAAGCGTGCTTGCATTATTTTCATCGCCGGCCGAGTCGGCTACAGTGGCCTACAGGTGTAGCTCTCTGATGGAACTGAGGTCAGAGCAGCGTGGCATGTGCTTTCTGATTGCATGCTGCGCGGATTGCTGCTGAGACAGTCGAAAAACGAAGACATCTTTCTACACGTGCAGAATGTCAGTTCGAGGGTGTTCAAGCCGCCTGTGCGCACATGGAAGATCCCGTACCCTCGAGTACGTATCCTGGGCCTGTCTTGGCTTCTTCGGCTAATCCAAGCTGAAACATGTTAACCCAAGCAAGCTGGTAGACTCATGGATTCGTGGAGTCAAGTCATGTCAAGTCAAAACACAACATGGGCGCAGAAACGTCTGATGAGTCAGAAGCCAGACGCGAGCCAGGCGCAACATCGAAAATGTCAGATATGTCAGATATGAGGTGAATGTCAACAGTTGACGGGAATCAGCAACAACGTCAACTAGCCGGTCGGCTGTGTCGGCCCCATCACCCGTCAACCCTTAACCAATCAGCCCTTCGTAAACTCAGAGCCTGCAAGTCGCTCATGGCCACGTCCGCAGTGCCGCGGGTCAGGAAAGGGCGGGGCAAGGGCGTGCAGAGAGTTTGGTGCTGAAAACATTATAGGTCAGGCTCCTGCTATTGGCTGCAATCAGAACCATGAAGTCATGTAGCGGATCATGTAAGCAAGGAAAAATGTGTCAAGGACGTGGTGCTGCAGAAGCCAACGCATCATTCGCTAGACCGTAGAAACCAGTTCCGGGTGCACATACATCTGCCCCCCTGCCAGAGTTACAGCCACTCGCAACCACTAGCATTCCTCAACCGCCAACCCTGTCCTTGCTGCCACCTGCACGTGAAATGGGCTCCGGTTCCTGTGGTGACGACTTGTTGACGGGGCACTGGTGAATTCAATGATCGCCTGTTAGATCACCAACCCTGGTCCATACGGCCGCAGTTAGTTTGCCTGGTTGGCAGTGTGAGAGAAGTGTGGGGCAGGGGATGCAGAAAGTGCCTGTTCCACCTGTGTCTGTATCAAAGTCGGAAGCCCTGATTCAGCCTCACGCTTCCCAGTCACGAAGAGCTTGGAGGCCAGTTGCCAGCTTGAGCGCGCGGCAAACGTGAAGAGCTTACGTCTTGCTTGAGTTCTTCACTTCTGCGGATGGGACAGAAGAGCGTTCTTCAGCGATACTGGGGGGGCAGAGAAAGAGCTTCCTGCAATCGTGGCTGAGGCCTCCTCCGGTCCCGGTGACCGATGAGGCGGAGTTGGAGAAGCTGCGACTTCGCTGCAGGAAGTCGGCACCAGACCAGAAACAGGTGTACTCCCGGGCACATTGAGCCGCAGTTCCAACCAAAAACGTCCACAGAGTGGAATTGCGCTTGCCAACTACGCAGAAAGATTCAGGGAGGGGAGCTGGTCACAGGCCATAGGAAAGGGCTCACTAGCCACAGGGTTTGGACTGGCACTTTTTCCGTCCAGCTGTCAGAATGTAACGTAGAAACCACACAGGATAATCATCGGTTGCTGCTTGTGGGCTGGATTGCAACATGAACTACGCTTAGCTAAGCTAAGATGAAACCTTCCTTGCCCGGCACGGGAAAGAGCCAAAGCGCTCAAAACCAAAGATGTGGCAGAGACTGCGCTGGCTAGTTGGTGCGCACACCAAGATCTCCGGGTTTTCGTAGCTGCCCGTATGTGTTCTTCAGAAAGCTCCTTTTCAGCGCAGCTGGCTCGCCCAGGTCCATGCTGCGTCGGCTGTCGAGCTCCAAGTCGGAGTCCAGCCTCCGAGCCCGCACTCCGCAGCCTCTTGGCATCTCTTGGGCCGTGGCGTCATGGGGGCACATGAAAGAAAGAGAGAGCATGAGCATACACCACTTCCTGTGAGGATTCTATACTATAATTACTACAATATACAATACTATGATATACTATACTATGCTATATGATACAATAATAATATATACTATAATTTTACTATACTGTGATAGACTTTAGTATACTACATTATATACTATAATATGTACTTGAACAAATGCTCTCATGTTTGCAGTTCTGATCCCCTGCTCCCAAGGCGCTTGGGATCCCCTTTGGTGGTCCTGCAAAGCTCCCAGGAGCCTCTGGGACTGCGAGACAGCGAGCCTTTTTAGGGTTTAGGGTCGTAGACTGGCTAGACTTGAGTCCAGTGGCAAAAAAGGGTTTAGGGGTTTAGGGTTGAGCCTCATTTACTTCCCAGCAGAGGCGTTGCAGGCTGGATGCAAAAAAGGGTTGAGCCTTTCTCCATGGACGTTCCCAGGTCCTATAGTCGTAGTCTCTTAGTCACCTACGTACTATACTGTGTTACTATACTATATTTACTATATTTATATCGTATACCATACTCTAGTCTGAGTATCGTAGCAATATAGGGGCTTTCATAATTAGAGTAGGGTCTTCAGCCCATTATACTATAATATAAGAATAATAAGGGTAGTATACGTAATTATTATTATTATGTCTTAGTCCTAGAATGAATCTCCTTGAGATTTAAAAGTACCCACTCCATTGATTTCGTTCACGCAGCTAGACATGCAGACCCGCGAGCGACGTAAGCATGAATTTGCAGACACACAGACAGCAACATACTGAAAGACATGCGCAGACACAAATGCTTAAGTGACGACAGCACAGCAAATGCATGACCCTGTGTTTTTGCAGCTGTTCCAGAGAATTCATTGGATGCCACAGCAAGTGCCCATCATTCAAATCAAGTGTTTTGAAGTCTTGTAGAACTAAGGGTTCAACGGAAGCCGACGCTCAGCGCGCGCTCACGGTCGAATTCAGGGCCATGCCCCCAGTGTGCCCCCTCTTGTGTGCGACGCGGCCATTGATACACACGGAAGATCGAGGCGATTGAGCTCGCCGCCAGATGACGTCGAGCAACCTCGAGTCTGCCCACCCGTTTGTGTTGCAGTTATGACGGATGCTGTCTTGACTATGCCTGCACCTGTGCATGTTGGGGCAGAACCGTGAGGACTGAACGTCGCAAAAGAAAACTCGTTGTTCCGATGTAGACGATTGTAGACGACTGAAGCTAACTTTAGATATTGGTTTGCTTTGCCAGTCTGCTCCAACACCAGACTGGGTAGCAGACAAGAGTGTTTGAACGGCTGAGACATTGATTCTCAAGTAGTCTTTGCCGCAGGCGAAGTTGCGTGCAGCACATGGGATTCAAATTCTAAGCTCAACTGTTGACTGAAGCTCTGGAACAGGAAACTTGCCCCGTGAGCACCTTGTTTATGGTGGTCCAGGACCGCGGCGCTTCTGGTATTCTGTTTCCGAATCCGTTTTGTACTGTTTCCAAATCCGTCTGCGACCTTATCAGGGTGTGCAGGTTCTGAATAAGGCAAGCCGCAGTGTCGCCACTCCGGACCCATGTTGTGTGGTCGTGTTTGTTGCTTCTGGATTTCTCATGTCTCGAATTAATGTCCGCAGGACATGATGGCTTTGAAGTACAGCATGCAGCTGGATGAGTTTGACTTCGTCAGCAAAGCTAAGGCCCCGCCAGGCTTTCAGGTCGCAATGATTCTCGATAGCCTCGAGTGCGTCATTCTTCAAGGAGACATGTCGATGCCAGTCGTGTGTACGGCACGGAGCAGCGTGGCGAAGAGGGTAGCCAGATCCTTTGATGAAGTGTGTCAACCTGGCTAGCCCGCGAGACACCAAAACAGCTGCGGGCTCAAGCCGTGGATCAGTTCAGTTGTAAACTCTGGCGAAGCTGCTTGTTTAGGCCACAGACTCTGTCATTCATCGCTTAATGTTGAGCACGGCTTCGGTACACTCGCAGCAGACGGCCATAGTCAGCAGTGTCGGGGGAAATATCTTGCAAAAGCTACATAGTTGACCTCGATGCCAGTTCAATGCTTCGACTAGTTTAAGCCTTGCATGTTTTTGAGCATCAGCGTCTGCTACATACATGCATGCACTGGCGGACACGTGCCTGATTCTGGCAGCATAGCGCTACGATGGGCCACTTGTCTGTTAGGTTAGAGCAAATGCACTTGTTGCCCCTCCCAGCAACAGCAAGAAACAAATCGTACCCCGGCAGGAACAACAAAACAGCTGACAGTGCGGTGGGATCATGTGAGACGTGAGGTGAGGATCTAACCACTGCAGGAGTCAACATCACCATGGAGGCCTGTTTTTCGACTCGGGTCACCTGGTCTCCGAGACATTTTTGCCTTGTCAAGCAGGCCGTTCTGGGATCCTTTCCGGAGCTGGTCGGCATAGATGGCGCTGTCGATGCTGGGCTGCAGTCGTCAGCAGACTACGAACCGCATTTCTGGTGTACAGCTCCAGCGGGCATGAATGCCGCTTGAGGCTCCAAAGCGGTCCTTGGCATGGCTCTGGCAGACGGTCGCAGCATCTGGGTCATGATTGATTCAATGAAGCCAAGTTACTCACAGTTCGCAACGAAACTGGTCTTCGCATTTGACCTAACGTTGCTGAAGGGGGCTGGTTCCAAACTTCTGCTTTCCAGTATATCGAGAGGGTTCAAAGTTTCGGGGTATCTTTGGGTTTCTCGACCACGTCCTTTAGGTTCTGAGCATGTCTCAAATTTTTGGATTTTTGTTCAGGCCACCTGCTGCTGGGCGTTGAGCGACGTCATTTGCGTGGCTCGCTCCAGCACTATATTTGTGGGCGAAGGGAACTGTGTCTACAAGATTGGAAAAGTCAAAGTGCATCCTCTGCTGTCGTTGGGTGCTCAGGACGCTTGCATTCGTCCGCCTGCACCCGATACCGCCGGTGACACAACTGAACCCGAAGATGTGCCCACGGTGGCGACTTGGCTCAACTCAAGTTGTCAGTAGCCAGGTCGAGATCTCGACATGCACTGCACGAATCACCGCTAAGGCCAAGCCAAACCCTTCTCCAGAGCCGACGTCACTGCGCCAGCGTCGTCGGCCTGATGCACTAGGTCGGTGGGGTTGGGGGCCGACCTGGCAGAGACTTCAAACAGCTTTGTATGGGCACATGAACGCTCCTACGGATCAAACTGTGCCATGGACGTGCGATGGTGGCACACCACCGGACATTTATCACCGTGTTTTGCATATACCAAGAGGGCATGTCTTCTACTGCCTGTTCGCCAAAGAACCTACCACAGCAGTTGACAGCCTTTAGGGAAATTGGTCGCAGGTGAGGCAGTGGAGACGGATAGCCGGGAGGGCAAGGCCAGGATTTGCACTAGCTCAGCCCGTGCGCAGCAGGGACATGTATAAAGATTTCCAACTCCACACGGTTTACGCATCAGCGTCTCAGGAGGCAGGCTCGAAAGGCATCACAGACAGACACAGGCAGTGTTTGGACCAGCTCGCCATGTCGACAAGCCTCAATTTCTTCGCTCGCGCCGGCTTCGGAAAGCAGCACTTGACCATTTCGATTCCTGAGGGGTCGGGCGGCGTGGAAGACAGCTCGGAGATGCAGTATCCACCTGAGGCTGTGCAAATCCGGAACACGTTCATACATATCGCGAGCCCAGCTGCTCCCGAAAGCGCATGCCGAGCAGCAGTATCATGTCCTGCATCCCATGTCGGACTGATCCAACGGACCATGAAGGACTGGCAGGACGATGTCAAACCTGCTTGCGGCAAGCCCGTCATTTGCTTGGAGGATGCTCTTTGTGTTAGCACAAACGAGTGGGCAGTTGAGGCTGTCGTTGACATTCCAACGGGCTGGCAGTGTGCCATGCAAGACTGGCACTTGGAGCCACCAGCACTGGCAGCTCCTGTCGACCTGGTGCCGGGAACATCGCAACTTCCCAGCGTCGGGTCCAGTGGACACTACACTGGCGACTGCAAGCCGTGTTCCTTCCTCTATGCTGCTCAGGGCTGCAGAAATGGTGCGGCGTGCATTTTCTGTCACTTGTGTGACAAAAGTGAGAAGAAGCGGAGGCAAAAACTGATGAGAGCTGCTCTCAACAAGTGCCAGACCGCCTGAAGCCTGTGGGATGCACGTTCTCAATTCATTTGCTCCTGTCTCCTCAGTGGATTCGGAGCGAATTAAGCGATGCAGCTGCAGGTGACCATGTCGGTGTGTTTTGTGACCTACGGCACAGCCGGCGCCGACACGCCCCGCCTTTTGTTCTTTCTGGCATCAGTGACGGTGCACAGAGCTTTCTGAGGCTGATTCGCGGGCACATTGTACAGGCATCCAGCAGGCCTGCGTGAGGTGCCAAAATCAGAAAGGCACTCTACAGCCTTAATTCAGTGTGAATGCGGCAGCCACGGTTGTCTGCAGTATGCTTCGTTCTGGCCCGAAGCGCCAGTGATTCTCCCAGAAAGGGTTCCAGCTGCAAAGCCCCTGCTGTTTCCCTGACGCTGGACACAATGAACAAAGAAAGGTGTCTATACTGTTTCGCACATGGCATTCTCTTGCAACCATGCGTGGCAATGTTGTGCAGCATCGTGGCCGTATCACAGCAGCCGTATCACTGCAGGAAGAAGGTCAAGACTTAGGGGCGCATTCAGTAGCCATGTCGACAAGCCTCAATTTCTTCGCTGGCGCCGGCTTCGGAAAGCAGCACTTGACCATTTCGATTCCTGAGGGGTCGGGCGGCGTGGAAGACAGCTCGGAGATGCAGTATCCACCTGAGGCTGTGCAAATCCGGAACACGTTCATACATATCGCGAGCCCAGCTGCTCCCGAAAGCGCATGCCGAGCAGCAGTATCATGTCCTGCATCCCATGTCGGACTGATCCAACGGACCATGAAGGACTGGCAGGACGATGTCAAACCTGCTTGCGGCAAGCCCGTCATTTGCTTGGAGGATGCTCTTTATGTTAGCACAAACGAGTGGGCAGTTGAGGCTGTCGTTGACATTCCAACGGGCTGGCAGTGTGCCATGCAAGACTGGCAGTTGGAGCCACCAGCACTGGCAGCTCCTGTCGACCTGGTGCCGGGAACATCGCAACTTCCCAGCGTCGGGTCCAGTGGACACTACACTGGCGACTGCAAGCCGTGTTCCTTCCTCTATGCTGCTCAGGGCTGCAGAAATGGTGCGGCGTGCATTTTCTGTCACTTGTGTGACAAAAGTGAGAAGAAGCGGAGGCAAAAACTGATGAGAGCTGCTCTCAACAAGTGCCAGACCGCCTGAAGCCTGTGGGATGCACGTTCTCAATTCATTTGCTCCTGTCTCCTCAGTGGATTCGGAGCGAATTAAGCGATGCAGCTGCAGGTGACCATGTCGGTGTGTTTTGTGACCTACGGCACAGCCGGCGCCGACACGCCCCGCCTTTTGTTCTTTCTGGCATCAGTGACGGTGCACAGAGCTTTCTGAGGCTGATTCGCGGGCACATTGTACAGGCATCCAGCAGGCCTGCGTGAGGTGCCAAAATCAGAAAGGCACTCTACAGCCTTAATTCAGTGTGAATGCGGCAGCCGCGGTTGTCTGCAGTATGCTTCGTTCTGGCCCGAAGCGCCAGTGATTCTCCCAGAAAGGGTTCCAGCTGCAAAGCCCCTGCTGTTTCCCTGACGCTGGACACAATGAACAAAGAAAGGTGTCTAGTCTATACTCAATACGGTCTTGCACATGCCTTCTCATGCAACCGTGCATAGCAGCATCGAGTTTTGTAGCGTGGCCGTATCGCAGCAAGGAGTAGGCTAAGAATTGCGGGGCGCGCTCAGTAGCCATGTCGACAAGCCTCAATTTCTTCGCTCGCCCCGGCTTCGGAAAGCAGTCTGCGCACTTGACAATTTCGATTCCTGAGGGGTCGGGCAGCGTGGCAGACAGCTCGGAGATGCACTATCCACCTGAGGCTGTTCAAATCCGGAACACGTTCATACATATCGCGAGCCCAGCTGCTCCCGAAAGCGCATGCCGAGCAGCAGTATCATGTCCTGCATCCCATGTCGGACTGATCCAACGGACGATGAAAGACTGGCAGGACGATGTGAAACCTGCTGGCGGCAAGCCCGTCATTTGCTTGGAGGATGCTCTCCGTCCCTCCAAATCCCTGTCGGCATCATCGGAACTACCCAGCATCGGATCCAGCGGCCACTACGTTGGTGATTGCAAGCCCTGCTCTTTTCTGTACGCTCCTCAGGGGTGCAGGAATGGTGCCGTGTGCATGTTTTGCCATTTGTGCGACAGAAGTGAGAAGAAGCGACGACAAAAGATCAAACGAGCTGCTCTCATCAATCGTCAGAGAGCTTAGCGGGCGGAGCCCGGTCTGGACACTCGGTGGGGCCCTTAAAGCCCTCACAGGAACTACGGTGCAGCAGATGTGCATTCAAAATGGTTTTCCACGACGGATGGGTCGAAAGTGCACGTGCTAATTACCTCGGCCGTGGCTTCCTCTTTTGTTTTCTCAGAAGCTGCACAGAGAGCTTTCTGAGAGGCTCATGCCAGGGCAGGACTTTGTACAGAAATCCAAGCCTCGACTCACCGCGAATGCTCTGCAAGTAGCCTCCTCCTGGCCTGAGGCGCCAGTGGTTGCCCAGAAAGGGTTTCAGCTGCAAAGCACCATCTGTTCCCTGACCTTGCCAAGAGAGTGCGCGAGAAACTTTCTTGTACGGTTGTCATGGTTGTGGCGACCCGCATGCCGAGTGCATATCGCAGCATCACTTTGCGCACGTACTCGTTGAATCATCGTGCAGGTATACCGGCTCGAAGTGTCTCAAAGCAGGAACGAACGGTGCATTCACAAGCC